TCCAGTCAAGATTTTCAGTTTTTGTTCGGTTTTCGGTTATTTCGGTTTTCGGTTATTCGGTTCGGTCACCGCGGTTTGATTCGGTTTGGATCGGTTGTTGAACACCCCTACTTCACAGGTCCCTCATATTTTATTTTGAGATCATCAAGTATAATTTTCAGCCACAATAACTCACAAATGCCTTGAGCCATAACTCGAAATTCAGCTTCTGCACTTGATCTGGCGACCACATCTTGTTTCTTACTTCTCCATGTCACCAAGTTACCGCAAAGAAACATGCAGTAACTAGTGGTAGAACGACGGTCAGTCACGGATCCAGCATAATCAGCATCGGTGTAAACTTCTAAAGAGAGATTGCCATCACGTAGGAATAACAATCCTTTACCAGTAGTAGCTTTAAGAAACTGAAGAATTCTCTCTATTGCCTGCATATATTTCTCCTTTGGATCGTGCATAAACTGACTGACAACACTAACAGCATAAGCTAGGTCTGATCTAGTATGAGCCAGATATATCAATTTCCCAACTAGCCGTTGATATTATCCTTTATCAACTGGAGGACTCTCCTCTTCATAGCCTATCTTGTGATTCTGCTCAATAGGAGTATTAAAGGGTTTACACCCGAGATTTTCTGCTTCTTTGAGAAGATCAAGAACATATTTTCTCTGGCTGATAAAAATTCCTTTCCTTGAATGAGCTACTTCTATCCTTAGGAAATATCTCAGTTTCCCAAGGTTTTTGACTTCAAACTCAGAGGCAAGCTGTGTTTGCAGAATCTGTTTCTCCATAAAATCATCACATGTGATAATAATATCATCAACATATACAAGGAACAGAGTAAGCTTCCCATTATAGGAATGTTTGAAGAAAAGAGTGTGATCTCCTTGACTCTGTCTGTATCCTAAGGTCATCATAACCTTAGTAAACCTTCCAAACCAGGTACGAGGTGACTGCTTCAATCCATACAAGGCCTTTTTTAATCTACAAACTTTATTTTCTCCCTTCACCAAATCAAAACCAGGCGGGATTTCCATGTAGACTTCTTCTTCTAACTCACCATTGAGGAAAGCATTTTTCACATCAAATTGATTTATATCCCAATCGTAATAGGCAGCAAGGGATAACATGACTCTCACCGTATTCATCTTTGCAACTGGAGAGAATGTTTCTTCATAATCAATGCCATACGCTTGAGTGTAACCTTTGGCAACTACTCGAGCCTTGTATCTCTCAAGAGTTCCATCAGAATTATATTTCAGGGCATAAACCCATCTGCACCCTACTGCTTTCTTTCCATTAGGTCTATCAATAATCTCCCATGTTTTATTTTTCTCCAATGCATTCATCTCCTCTTGCATGGCTTGAGCCCAATTCCCATATTTCAAGGCTTCATGTACTGATTTTGGGATTGCAATAGAGTCTAGTGCTGAAACAAAGCTTTTGTGCTGCACAGAAAGATTAGCAGAGGAAACAAAATGGGAGATAGGGTATTGAGTACAAGAGGGACAAGAGGAACAAGATTTCTTGGGACAAGATCTTTTTCCTTTTCTAAGAGCAATGGGTAAATCAGCAGAATCAGTAGTAATGGGTAAGTCATCAGAAGTATTAACATCATAATCAGAAATATGAGATTCAGGACTTACCAGTGGTTCAGACGATTGAGGTTGCTGCTGAGGCGATGTGGGATGTTTCTTTCTTTGATATACCAACTGAGGTGTCATAATCTTCCGTATCTCTGGTGAACTTGATGTATCAGTCACAGGAGGATCAAACACAGGAGGAACATGAATAAGAGGAGGATACACTGACACAGGTAAAGAAGTAGACACTGAAGACTCAAAGAAGGGAGGTGATGAGTTTTCTGGTGAAGGATTCTCCCCCTGAAGATGAGGACCTTGGAAAAAGGACTCAGATTCCTGAAATGTAACATCCATAGAAACAAAAAATTTCATACTACCAGGGTGATAACACTTGTAGCCCTTCTTATCAGGAACATAACCAAGAAAAACACATTTAATAGCCCTAGGGTCCAACTTACTGCGATGATGTTTATGAACATGAACAAAATCAACACACCTAAACACTCGTGGAGGAAGACTCAAAGTTGGAATAGAAGGGAAAAAAAAGTTATATAGTGAATAGGACTTACATGGTCAAGTACCCGAGTGGGTAAACGGTTGATCAAGAATGCTGCAGTAAGAATAGCATCTCTCCAATAGTATTTGGGTACATGTGTCTGAAACATTAATGCACGAGCCACTTCAAGAAGGTGACGATTTTTTCTTTCAGCAACCTCATTCTGTTGAGGGGTGTCAACACAAGTAAGTTCATGAATCATACCGTTATTTTGTATAAAATGAAAAAACTGTGATTAACATATTGAGTACCATTATCTGTTCTTAGTCTCTTGATTTTTTTACCAAATTGGGTCTCAACCATTTTATAAAATTGAAAGAACAGTTGTGGTACCTCAGACTTTTCACGCATTAAGTAAACCCAAGTTACACGAGTGCAATCATCAATAAAAGAAACAAACCATCTATTTCCAGAAGCATGGGGGACTTTAGAATGACCCCAAACATCAGAATGAATAAGATCAAAAGGTTCAACACTCTTAGTAATACTAGAAGCAAAAGACACATGATGATGCTTAGCAAACTCACAAACATCACAATGAAAAGACTAAACAGACTTAGACAAAAACACTGACGGAAATAAAGACTTGAGTAAACTAAATGGAGGATGTCCCAAGCGCTTATGATGAAGCCAAATCAAAGAATCAGCAGTTGATTGACCATGAGACATCAAGATGTGATCTGTTACTTTATTTGCGGGAGATTGTGACACCATATAGTACAGCCCACCTTGCTCTTTAGCACTACCAATCGTCTTCCCCATGGAGAGATCCTGAAAAACACAATGGGTAGGGAAGAAGGTTACAGTACAATTCAAATCTTTTGTAATTTTATGAATAGAAAGAAGATTGTGGAGAGTTTAGGAACATGAAGAGCATCTTTAAGATGTAAGGACTGCTGTAAGTTTATGTCACCAGAACCCGCAACTAATGTATGTGAGCCATCATCTATGGCTATTGTATGAGTTCCAATAATAGGATGATAAGAAGTAAAGGAGTAAGCACAACAAGCCATATGATCAGTAGCACCAGAATCAACAACCCAAGAATGTTTAAAATCATTACATGAAGAAAAGAAAGAATATGTTTTGGAGCTCATATCAGTCATAGCCAAAGCACTAGTATCAGATGGGTTACTCAGATAATCAAGGATGGTTCAGAGCCGTTCCAACTCATCTGGACGAAATGCAGGTTGGGTCTCATTAGGTGCAGGAGTTATTTCAGAGGACGTAAAATGCGCTTGACCACGCATCCTTGCCATCTTTTTTAAGACAGTTTGCTTTCCATGGAGGCGAAAGCATAAATCCTTGATATGACCTGTTCTTTTACAATAAGAACACCATCGATCATCTCTCTTAGGCCTAGAAGATGCACCATCATAAAACTTTGTAAAGGAACTTCTTTGAGAAGAGGTCATACTGCACACAAAAAATGGTCAAAGGATAACACCAAGAAGCCAAAAAATCACAAAAAAATACCAAACGACGTCTGATCTGAGAGTAGAGCTCAGATCCAGAAAGAGGATGAAGGGACGATCAAAATGGCGGTGGTCAGATCCGAAAATATGGTCTCACGCGCCTCCACGTGCCGGTGAGATTGGCTGCGCGTGGGCTTCACTCGCGAATGAAAGAGAGGCACGTGTGGGCGCATGAGGTGGCCTTCCGGGCTGAGATTTCTGGGGCAACGTCGTCCGGCAAGAGCGGTTCTATCTGGGGCTGGTCGGAGTTGAAAAGCCGCCGGGAAAAGGTCCAAACGCGATGAACAGATTCTGTTTTGTTGAAACGCGATGAACAGTAACAGAGGTCTAGTGTTTAACGTGATTGAAGGTGTTTAAATGATAAATTGGAACAAGACGAGGGAAACAGAGGTCTTCTCGGTCCAAGAGGTCCCCAGAAAAATTTTCCCGGTGGCGGCTAATGGCAGCGAGAGACGAAAAGAATAAAAGGTTTTGTTCTAAAGACAATAGGCGCGGAAGCAGAGCCCTCAGGATCGAGAGCTCTGATACCAACTTGAAAGAAAAAGGGTATTTGAAATATTATTGAATTGTGTAAATAATCTATACAAAGAGGTCTCTATTTATAGAGAATGAAAACCCTAATACTTGACCTAATGGGCTTGGCCCAATGCAACAAATAATAAAAATTAAATAACCAATATTTACAACACCCACGCTACCCAATATATTTGTATTTATTGCATTACATTTTGTTTTTTCTTTCTCCTTTCTCCTTCTACATAATCTTATCAGATTGCTAATCAGGTGCTCATCAAACACAGGACATGATATAAGCTTATCAGCCCCATGTCATATCCTACCATTATCCTATCTTGTCCACCAAACAAGCCTGTAATGTATAAAGAACAAATGGACAAAGAAATAAAGTGTGTCCTAACTTTGTTTTTAGCCTAATAATAAGCGGTCATGAGTTTGAGCCGCTCAGGAAGTCATTTCTAGAAGGGATTGATGGGGTTATGACCCCAACAATTTTTATTTTTATTTTTTGAAAATATTTCAATCAGTTTATCGTTTCGCGACTAATCCAATTTGAAACTTTAAACCCCTCCTATATGCACTCAGAAGTCACAAGAATTAACCATATGCAGTTTAACAGCCATTTATGTTAGTACCAACTTGCAGCCCTTATATCCGTCCACCACTTAACATGAAGCTCCACATATCTAATGCATAAAGAGGTAAACGAATAAGGAAATAAAATTACACCTTCACTAAAAATTATAACTTTTAATCTAATAGTAAGCAATTGATCTTTAACATATCACTCGTGCTAATTTGCATGATCAAAGAATCTTTTGTATCTTAAAAATGAGGCATACATGTAATTGCATAGTGATTGACGTGTGTACGTATATAATTGCAACAAATCTATCTAAACTTCAGTTTTGTCATTGATGGGGACAAGTTCCAAGGTCTCTTCATCCCCGTTATCAATGGCATTCTTTTCCGAAACCTCAGAAGGAAGTAAACCCTCATATTGACCTGTGTTAGGGACAAGAAAAACTAAAGCAAGTGTAGAAAATCTAAACATGTCTCTTATAAGAATAGCCAACCATAGGTTTGTAAAATCAGTCCTAGTGACATGGAGCAGACGAAGAAGCAACCCTCCACCCCATCTGGATAAGAGGGCCCCAATGCTATCAATGCACAATAACAGTGCAAAAAACGTGCCCTCAATGCCTAAGGGACATAGCTGGGTACTCAGTACCATCATGGGCATCCATCTGATTTTGCTTGTGATTCTTGTAGAACTTTCTTCAATGACAACAAAGAAGTAATCAGGAATCCCAATGATCAAATTCCAACGTAGGACGAAGATTAGATCCAGCACACCAGATGTGGCATATAGGAGTTGTGCATAGAATACTAGCTTTCTAAATGGGTAGTCTTTTAGAGCCTTGTGGTAGATCACAACCCCTATTATTGAAGCCGCTGCCCCAATTGCATAGATCCATCCAACAAATTCCTGCACATAAGAGGGAGAAAACTCAGTTGAGAAATAAATAGTGCATGTTTAGAAAATGGCTATCTATTTAGTCATTTGCAAAAAAAAATAAAAAAAATATGAGCGGTACCTGAGAGAATGCAGGACCAACTTTTGGATCTGTATACCAGTAAAAATGGCCTTCATGAGTGGTTACACTAAGAGCCAAGGCTAGGAACATGTATAGAGAAGGCTTCCACACTTGAGGATACTTCATTGTTTGGTACATGCTTCTAATTGTCATTCCTACTTTCTCCATAACCGCCTGCAAAATTTGGTTAGATCATCTAGCTTGCATACATAAAGATTTAGATATTTCAAATTAGGAAAATTAGTGGCTTTTGTCAATCATTTCTAAGATTCCATTTGATGTAAGATTAGTCATTAGTTATTTCGATCTTAATGCTTTTGGTTATTCAACGTTTTGATTATAACTAGGAAATATATATAGGATAATAAGAATAGAATAAAGAAGGGACACGGGATAGAGAGGATAAAGTGTATAAAAAATTAGAGTACAAGTTAGGGTGGGTAAGTGCCGTGGACCCACATGGTTCCACCAGTATATTGATTAAGAATCAGTCTTTGTTTAATTTGATGATTCTAAACAAATGAGTTTAAAGTTTGAACCTTAGGCTGATAGTAATTAAAAAAAAAAAACACAAGTATTGTAATTAGAAGGTCCAACTTTATACGACAAATTAGTTCAAAACCAACAAATTAAAAATCAATTTCGTAGTTATCCACTCTCGATAGATACTACTTGTTAATTGTAAAATGTTTTGTAAGGAACATGACAGCAAAACCACACCCGCCAATGACACTGATATTTTTGTAGAATAATAAAGTGTGCATATTTTGAAATATAAGGAAGTTCTAGACTTCTAGTCAACTAGTAAAGAAAAAGAATAAAATTACCAAGAGAGAGAGAGAGAATAAAAGAATATGAGATAAGTGTGTAATACTACTATATAGAACTTGACGCGATTTTTTTTTCCCCGAACGATGAACTAATGAACTTTCTTTGGATCCTCCATATAGTGGTGTTGCTCCCGAAATTGTGTAAACGAACTGTATTATTCAGCATTAACTATGAACTAAATAATTAACAGTATTTAACTAACTGTTACACTCTATAACTGACATCAGTAATTGTAAAGGAAATTTGTTTCAAAAATCTAACGACCGGACACCTGTTATAAAAACCCACCTTGCACGGCGAATTCGATTTAATCGGTGGTCTGATTTAAGTATTGGACCGGTCTTGTATTTGATCCAATATAAAATCGGTGAATTGGTTCTAAACCGAATTGAATTGGTTTTTAAAAAAAATTGATTTTGTGAAATTTTAAATAAAATACTTGAAAAATACCACTAAAGAGATTCAAACCTAGATAATGTGTATTATAACTTATAACATTTATCACTAAATCAACTCTAATTATTAGTTAAAATATAATTAATTTTATATATTTAATTCATACAACTGAACCAATAATTTACCGGTTCAACGGGTGATCCCTTAACTCATTACTCGGAACTAGTCCAAGTTTCATAACACTACTTCTGTGATCCCATCTATTCTAAATGAATAACCAAAACATTACCCGTATATGAGATTACCCGTAACAATTTTAGGATAGAAAAGCTAAATTTACCATGAAATGTTAAAAAGAAGAAAAAGACAGATTTCTAACCTGCTTCCTTTCATTATGGGTTTTGTTTTCATAAATCACAAAACCAAGCACAAATGTCAAAGCAGGAGAAAGTGCCATAAGACCCAGCGACACCTACAAAAAAAAAAAAAAAAAAAAAAAAAAAAAAAAAAAAAAAAAACAGTATAATTTGTTACTCTAAGTAGTGTTATTTATAAAAAATTTAAACCGTTGATCATAAGTATGCATTATTGCATTCTGCTGTACAAATGAAACATATTCTAAAAACAAAACATTAGAACCTTTAAATTCTTCAAAATGGTTTTTTTTTTTTAAAAAATTATTAAATTTTTTAAAGAAACGGATCCATTTACCAACTTTTTTAAATTTTTTTACAAATTATACTATGTTCTTCCGGGAGAACACAGTGTAAAATTTTTTACAAATTACACTCTGTTCTTCCGAGAGAACACAGTGTAATCAGTATTCTACCGAGAGAGCAGAACATTTGTAAATATAACATGTACCATTTTTTAATACCTGGGGACCAAGACGATGAACGAAGAAACCACTAGCGAGGTACCCAACGAGAGCACCCGCAGAGGAACAAAACCCGCATAGGCTCTGCAAATCCGGCGCCAGCGACCGCACCTCGATGCTGTTCCTTGCGATGCACGCGTCGATGGTGACGTCAGCGATGGCGAGCGAAGCCGAGACGCCGACGAAGCAGAGCAAGGCGGCGGAGGCGGAGAGGTTCCCGTGGAGAGCGACGAGCGCGGCGGAGACGGTGCCGATGGCGCCGGAGATGACGAAGTAGGGTCGCCGGCGGTAGCCGAATACCGGAAAAGCGTCGGTGAGGATGCCCCATAAAGGTTTGAGAACCCAAGGGATGAAGTAAACGCCAACGTAGAGCTGAACGGTTGAGGGTTGAAGCTTCTGCACGTCCTTCCAGTAGTAATCGGAGACGACCTTGAAGAACCCGCCGGAGAAGCCTTGGCCGAGACCGTAGATCAAGAACACGCCGAGGATGAAGGTTGGGTTCAGCTGCGTCGACAGCATTCTCACCCATTTGATGGGTTCTGTCACAATTGAAAGTGGGTTGTTGTTCTTGGTTTTCTTTGTTGTTGTTGTGGCAGATGCTGAGTTTGGAGTAGACATGGCTTCAAAAGATAACTAATCAATCTCACTGCTTTTAAGTGTGTTATTTTTTTTAATTATGTTAATTTTGGTGGGAGAATGAGAGTTAGGATTGTTTGTTGTTGCATCTAATCTGGGTTTGGAATTGAATGCTGATGATGATGAGATGCAAGATTTGATTTGACTTCAGGCATAGATCGTTGAATTTAGGAGTGTGGTTTGGGGTCAAAGTTATGCAATGTGTTCTTCTCTTCTCTCTCTTTCTTTTTTTAAAGGGATAAACATTTTTACAGCCACTTTATCTACTGCCACTATTTTTAATTATGTTCTTTTGGAAAATATAGTTATAATATTAAAATTTTTTTTCTACTCAGTTACTTTTCAGAACTTGTTTGTTGATATAGAGAGAAAAAAAATCAACTTTAATGTTATAACTATGTTCTCCCGCGAGAACGTAATTAAAAAATAGTGACGGTAGATAACCTTATCTAAAGTGGTTATATAAATATATATTTTTTTTAAATTATTGATTTTACTTGTTATAGCATATTAGCCTATTAGGCAACACTAGAGGACCGTGCAAATGGGTTTGTCTCGTGTTCCTCCCTTCCCCAGATGTGCTTCTTTCATGTTTGTTAATTAATTCACATTATTGAAAAATTAAAACAAGATCGAGTCTCTGCTATTAAAAAATAAAATAAATATCAAAGTGAAAGAAATTTCACAGCTGTTCTCGTCTTGGGAAATTTAAAAACCAAAACAACGAAGAAAAAAAAGTCATCCATTCCACGGAGTAAAATTTCAGAAACTGAAAGTCTGATAGTGACCAAATAGAGAAAATTATAAATAATTAAATATATTCGCTCGAGGGGTTTGGACAGCTACTTGGACAAGAAAAGGGGGAAAAAAAATTAAAATATTATTATTTAAATAAAGTTATAAAAATGTAAAATTTTTGAACCAATTTAAATAAGAAATTACGAAAATTAGGTTAAGAAATTGATAGCACGTGCACTTCATGATATTGATATGGAAAGAATTCGAGAGTTTCTGAAATTAAATGCTCTTATGAATGTGATATTATTGTTGCAAATTTGAACTATGTTTGTGAAAAATAAAATATGTCAAATAAAATGTCATTACATATAAATTTATGGGAAAAAAGTTTCTGATGTTACTTTAGATAACTTTATCTAATGTTCATTGAAACGACGTCGTTTTGGGGTTGAAAAATTAAAAAATTAGAGTGATAAAGGCTATTATAACCCTGAAATAAATTAAAATTACAAAAATACCATGATTTCCGTCCTAAAACGACGTCGTTTTGATGAACATTAAATAAAGTTATCTAAAGTAACATCAGAAAAAACAAACCCTAAATTTATATGTGAAATAAAAAAAAAATACTTGTTTTAGAAACCCAAGTCAAAAATTATAGTCTTCTGTATACAAAAAACAAAAATTATAGTCTTCCGAAATTGTAAGATACAACTTTTGAAAATTGTGTGTTGCGTGTCATCATGGGATGAATCATTTCAAATTGGGCACGACCTAGTACTAGATGCACCTAATTGGGGCGCGACCAATCACATCCAATTTTGATGTGACTAAAATATTACGTTTCTGTAATTTTTTTATTTAAATAACAATATTATTACGTTTCTGTAATTTTTTTATTTAAATAACAATATTTAAATTTTGGGAAAAGTATTTCTCCAATAAAATATTCAGTGAGCTTAAAACGACATCATTTTGAATTATAAGATTAAAAAATATAATGATAAAGACTAATATAACCATGTAATATATTAAAATTACAAAAACACTTTAATTTTCACTCCAAAGCGACATCGTTTTGGACTAACCGGAGATAACTTATCTCTATTGCATGAAGAGATCCTTTACCTTCCCAATGAAAGAGATCTATGTAAATGACGAAAGTCGTTACTGACGAAAGTCGATCCTTCCCGATACCACCTTTGAAAAGAGTTTAAAGTCTTAATCCTGGACCCGCTCTGAATCAGACTAGTCGCAAAGGATAAACCGATTGAAATATTTTCAAAAAAAATAAATAAATATCATGCATGACTTTGTTATTATTATTATTATTATTTTTGGGTAGAGTGCATGACTTTAAAAAAATGATTGATAAGCGTAAATACTTATTTAAAATGAGTGTAATAAGACAAAATTATAATTTTTTATATGCGTAAATATTTATTTTTAGAACCTTGCTATAAAAAGAAAATAGCATGCTGTTACATCGTCAATAATTATTATATGCAACTCAAAAGCAGCACGACAGTTCTGCAGTTGGATTTAATAAAGTAACCATCGCTCTAATAGACATATACTAAAGCGAAAATTTCAGGAGATACTTTAATAAAACTTCAAAATGTGGATAAATATATTCGTTCAATTACCCGGATTACCCGCTATCATATCAACAGCATAACATAAAATTTCTTCGAAAAAAAAATAAAAAATTACCACCACTTTGGATCACTTAAAATCATTTCCCTTTCGGTTAGTAGAGTACAATTTTTCTTCTCTGATCCGGTAATTTCATTAAGTGCTTTATTAATCTTATATAATAGGATACAATATGTCTTTTGTCACAGACATAACTATTTGGGGAACCCAGCCATTATTAAAAAATAAAAATAAAATAAAAAATAGCAGCACATAAATGATGTTAGAGAATTAATCTCCACTAACATAAGAGTAGTTTTTCCCTTTCATGAATAAAGACCCCAAACAAATTTGCATAATAATATTTATTGCTTATCATCAGTTTTGACTCATGGAATTTTCTGCTCCTAGGTACAGCTATCCTTTCTTTCACCTGAATTCCACACTCACGCAGCAAGTAACCTCTGGATATCCTTCTGAAAAAAAAAAATATAAAACATAATAGAGCAGGTTAAGCATAAAGTATTTCTGCAGAGATTTAAGTATCAAACATACAGATATAAGTGGTCCTTATAAGTATGTATGAACAATTAATAAGTATCAAACCATGAACAGCTCCTAGGATCTTGGGAGCTCTAATACCAATCAATAGAATTGGACCAAAATCAAGGTAAAGAATGTAGTGTTTATGGATAGAACAAGCAATCTCTGAATCTGTGTCAGAATGATAATGAAACACAGATCAAGAAACAGTATAGAACAATAGGGATACAGAATCTCCTACTCCAGGTAATGAAGAGACCTGGGCTCTTCCTCTTTTTCTCTCATCTCTAGAACTAGAAAACTACTCTCTATTATTTCCATGCTATATATATACTGTAATCTCTCCCTCTCTAACTAACTAACTGTTGATACAGTTGTCAACAGACCTGCTATTAAGTTGGGGGTCTGCTCCTACTTAAAATGAATGTTAGAGGAAAAACTGCTGAAAGCCTGAAACCATTCAGCATACAAGAGGTCACTGACTACAGTTAAGTATAAACCATTTCATTAGGCACTTAATAAAGAGTTTTCAAACATAAATTAAGTGCTAGAGTTTTTAGCACTAAAAGTTTCAACACTTAATTTTCAGTGCTAAATTGCCCAATATTAGCAAAAAAATAAAAAAATAAATCACTCCCATGTAATCCCCGACTTACGAGAGTAGAGATGAGAGAAATCCTTATATATAGCTTTATCCTTATATTTTTGCAAAGAGGCTATTTTTTGAATTGAAATATGTGACCTCTCGTTCACCAAGGAGCAGCTTTTTCATTGCTCCAAGATCGCCGTCTTATGGTTTTACCAACTAATATACCCTCCAAAAATTCATAAAGTGTAAATTTGGGCCTGGACTAATCTGAGCATTGTCCTTTTAGCTTCATTACAACTTCACTAAGATCTTTTACTCTCACCTTCCATATTGTGTTGCAGAACACATTGACATACTAGAGTAAGTACTACTTACTCTAGTATGTCACTAAGTACCTTACCAGTTAATATTTCACTGCCATTGTTATAATTAGAAACTGCTGGACTTTTTATACTGGAAGGAAGCTTAACATACCTCAATTTGAAAAGGAGAGGTTGTCGGTGGGTATCTTTCAACAACTTTACCATTTTTATCAACCAAGAATTTTTCAAAATTCCACTTGACAAGATCACCTAGAAAGCCTCCAGCACTTGATTTCAGAAACTGGTATACTGGAGCAGTAAACGGTCCATTTACATCAACCTGTTTAACAGAACTTTATTACTTTGTTTACTCATACATAAACTGTTCTAAACTACTGACTGAAGAAACATTATCAAACCTTATCAAAAATTGGAAATTCTGCTTTAAACTTTGTGCAAGCAAACTGCTTAATTTCTTGATTTGATCCAGGCTCCTGCATACCAAATTGATTGCAGGGGAAAGCTAGAACCTCCAAACCTGAAAAGAAACTGCATAAGGGCACTAGAAGTGTGTCGCTCAGAAAGCATGACTTTTGAATTTTAAAACTCAGAGCCATATTCAAAGAGAGATAACGAAGTATAAAATTGAATTTAAGTCATTTTTTAATCTATTTGCTGGAAATTTGAAATTTCCTATAATGAAACCACCAAAGTTCTTCAAATATCAAGAGACCAGAAAAGCATCTAAAGCCAAAGATCACCCATGTTCCATCACAAAGTAATCCTGTTATGCTACCTATGTTAATAAGCAACTGCAGGTGTGCTTGGTAGAGAAGAAAAAAATGACAGGTATCACACTGAAAATGCAGTGGCTATAATTTGCATTCAATATTTTTTAAATTATTTTACCACAAATTGGAATGAAAATACAATATAAATATTCCTAACAAAACAAGGGAAAATTAAAACTTTTCACTCTTATCACTTTCACTCCCCTACCTAATTCTTCACTTGTCCATTATCCGTCTTCCCTAACATGCACACCCTTAATTTAGCTACATGTAGCATGACAAAAATAGGCACCCGAGAAAGAGGGGATCAAATCAATACCATAATGCCAAACTAGTTAATATCTTGAATTCTGAAGGGTGGAATCCTTACATGTTGTTAAGAGATATATAAAACCATTAATATAGCCTCACCCAAAAGCTTATGCTTTTGGGTTACATTGGCTCTTTACATGGTACCAGAGCCTCGGTGTCACGAGTTCGATCCTCACCACCTCCCCTTGGGAATTTCTTAGCACAAGTAGGTGGCCTTGTGCATTGTCCACCCTTCAAGCCCAGTGGGCTCTCGTGTGAGGAGGCTTGTTAAGAGATATATAAAACCATTAATATAGCCTCACCCAACAGCTTAAGCTTTTGGGTTGAATTGGTTCTTTACACGTCTTTATTTCTGGATTGTACTATAAAAAAAAAGGATTAATGTTTCTCTTTTCACGGGAGGAACACTTTTCCCATAAAAAAAATCCCACTTAGAAAAAAAACCTCAAAATCCTATGTCATATTTGGCATTATCGTCAGAAACATTGTCAAATAAATAATGCATTCTCCCTTTCTTCTTTTTGTTTTAACCATATATGGTTCTTACAACTAATAAAATCCAAAATACCACACATCACAGTGGAATAAAGCTGGAACGAATAAATTACCAGTTCTGAAGTATCTCATATCATATATAATTCCTTTAAAACATGGAAAAACAGCAAGATATTTAGTCTGCGGAATTTGTATAAAGCATCAAACAGGGGAATGAATGGGCATACATTGTAAAACCATAATCAATAGCTTTCCATATAAAGCTATGTTTAGCCTATAGAGAAATGCTTGAAATAAAGATGTGATTTTTGAAGTGATCATATCAACAGAATGGTGTCTTTGAGAAGATTAGTGGGAAGATCTGAGAAACAGATCCAAGTATGTAAACTTCATACATACTAGCAGCCACATCTAAATGTAGCGATAAATTGTGCCTGAATTTGAATAGGAAGGACATACTTATCTGCTAATTTTATACAGAATCCAACACAAACAAAATGATATGCAAAAGTATATAGATTCAGAATCAAGAAGCTACACTCTGCAAACACCAAGTAGAACATGACCAATTGTGATACTCAGAAGAAATATTAAGAAGATACACAAATAACTATCCTCCATAAGCAACATACCTTGATTTTTAAATTTTTCATATAAGCGTGACAGTTCCGAGTAGTTCGATGATGTCAAACCACTGTTATTCAAAGGGAATTTAATCAATGTTACCATAACTGAACAGAAACTTTGGCACAACTGTTAAGTTACATAATACATACTAATATGATTTTTTACTTATGCATTAAGGAAGAGTTGGGAAGTTAGGAAAAAGATTAAAAAGGACAAAATAAGGCTATATCACAAATAAACTGAGTTACATATCTCCCTTGAGGAATCAATAATCATTACCATCGTGAAGCAACATTTACAATCAAGAGAACCTTCCCCTTAAATTTGCTAAGAGAAACATCCTTCCTATCAATATCCTGCACCATATAGTATACCATGAGCACATAAAAAAAACAAGCTTTTCTTCTTTAATTTCAAAAAAGTTATTCCCATTCTCCAGAACTATTTATATTAAGAAATCATCAGAATTAAAAACAATTCTTGAACCCCATCTCCCCCTCCCTTAGTCATTTGATACAGGTCAAACCAAATTCAAATTACAAGGTTGACCCATTTTTTTTTCAAAAAAAAAAAGAAAAGGTTTTTTTACAATTATATAAAGTGGGTGAAGGAATATAAATTGGAATTGAGCATGATACCTTAACAGTAAAATCATAAATGGTTTTCTCTGTGGCTGCTCTAGCATGAACTGAGAAAGACCGAGGCTTGAAAAGAAACCTGGGAAAATTGGACGAGGTTTGTTGAGAAAACCCATGTTGGAAAAAGGCTGACTTGGAAGAACTTAAGGAAGATTTGATGCAAGGGATAGAAGGAGTTGGGTTAGTTCTAGGTTGACTCAAATTATAGATAGGTGTGAAGAAGATGGTTGAGAAAGCCATGGAAGCCATTTTTGGGGTAGCTGGGAACAATACACAGAGTTTCAAGTTTGGTGCTTCTTTCAAGTTTCAATAGAATTTGCAATTGGGAAGTGAGGAAAGTGCTTCTCTTGTTTTACCATTTATGTCAGCGGTGGTTACACGTATACCGACCTGTCTCTCAGTGTAAAAAAAAATTCAAAAATAAAAATAATAAAAGAAAGGTTATATTTAAAAAAAAAAAAAAATTGTTTACAAATTATATTATGTCCGATGGATAATACATTATTAAGTACAATATTTTCACTCAAACATAATATAATTTGTAAGTTTATAAAAAAAAATATTTTTCAATATAACTATTGTGATAATAATAATAAGAATTATATTTATTTCATTTTACATGAAATAAACAACTCTCTTACACATAAAAAGAGGTTGGGTTCCAGCATTTTTTTTCTGTCTCCTCTTACTTGTGGTCTCACTTATACTTTTATTCTACTGTGATAATTTTTTTCCTACAAGAAAAATATATCTTAATAATAATAATGAAATGGAATCTATCATGTAAGGTAAATTAATGTAAAGATATTTTGAATTAATGAGGATACAAAAATACATTAGAATAATGATAAAAAAAAACATAATTGTTAATTTGTACGATAAGATTCTCTCATACGACTTCACATAAGTTATACCGTGTTTGATAAAGAAGATTATTTTTTATCGAAAAAAAAAATTCGAGAATATAGAGGGCAATTTTTTTTGGGTAAATTATAAAAAGATATTTGATAGGCCAAATTTTTTTATAAAAAATTGAATTAACTTTACTGATGTTATATTTGATTGATTGAAAATTTGTACCGAAATGATAAGATTATCCACTTTTATATATTTGCTGAAATATTGTATATAGGCATTTTTGTCTCAAAATATAAAAATTGGTTTCCTAGTTTGTGGGAAAAAATAAGACCATAGGTATGATGAGATTATTTTTTCTCATATATAGTTAAAATCATAAATGATGGAAAAAAAATATTCTGGGATTTTTATTTTTTTACTTGTATCAAACATGGTAAAAAAAATTTCCCAACCCCATTTTCCAACATTTCAACCAAAAAAATTATACGAAACACCTCCTTACTTCTTAAATTAGACTTATGTTTGATTAATACTTTCCTTATCTAATAAGGGAAAAGTTAAAATGTATGAAAATTATATAGTTTAAAATGTTATACATGATTAATTTCTTAAGAATAATTTCCTTATTAGGTAATTAGATATTAATTTACATTGTGACATATTAAATTAATATCAATTTAATATTATTAATTACTTATTTATTTTTTTATGTCTTCTCAACCTAAATCCCTACAATTCGAAGAGTATCATTTAATTAAAAGATATAGATTGTGTTAAAAAAATAGATGAGATTCTACTAAAAGATATTTACTATTTATCTTAATTATTTCAATTTAAATATTAATTTAGCACTTACTACAAATTAGAAATTTAGATATTTACTATAAAAGTGTTCAAAGAATATTGATTAAGAATTATTTCATGTACATTATTAAATAATTTTTTTTGTAAGCCATTATTAAATAATTTTAATTCAACGTAAGTATTGAATATTCTTTGTATTTTAGTGCAATACATATTTCAAATTTTTATTCAATATTTACAAGAATTATTATGATACCTTATTAAGTATGATTTTTGAGATATGTTTTTAAATATTTATTAATTAATAAATTCGTAGTAAATGTTAAACTTGTATTAAAAATAACCAGTAACTAATAACATACTTGATGGGTATCACACATAAGGAATAAAAAACACGTGCCAAATAATGTCTAATACTTTCTATTTTTATTTTTTAAAACTATTGTACGAAACAACTCTATAGCAAATACCGTTTTTTAATCCAGACCTATTCGAGATATAATCTTGAAATCATTGAAATATAATAATGTAAACAGATAATTGATTAATAATTTTAAATTATTAAGATATCAAAACTTTCAAGTTGCCTTTTCATCTATATACAAACAAAACATTTTTCTTAAGATTATATTCAAAATCTAAAGGCAACACGATAAAATAGATTGGGCCATTGGGGGATATGAAAGACGGAGAACGATTTGAAACCTCAAGTCTCGATTTGGATGATCATTTCTTGTGGTTCGTAAATGAAACATATCAATATATATTATAAGTTCTGTTAATTCACCCCCTCGCAAAAAGTAATCCTACGGGATGAAGTCATGAATCTGATCCCTGATCTTTATTTTGTATACAACATAATATTTTATTAAAAAATAAAAATTGTAGTTAATTATTGATCTATTTAATTAAGACTCCTATATTTTATCACCTTCACATTTCACGTAACTTAATATTTGAGATCCACCGAAACTTTTATATTTTCATAAAAATAAATAATGAACTTAAACTTTTCAATAAAATTCACACACAAAATTTCACTTAATAACACAAAATATTTTTAAAAAAAATATCAATGAATAATATGATACCAGAATTCCTCTTCCATCTTGATCAATCCTAGAGTGAATGATGTTCATTGTGGTTTATGGACCACTACGTTCCAACTTCAAGCATGAGGCTGATCTTCTAGTCTCTTTCCCCTCTCATTCTCTCAATATATCCCACCTCTTAAAACCCTGCGTGTTTACTGTTTAGAAAGAAATTATGTCATATGATCATATGCTTAACAATTTAGTACGCAATTAGATAATTAGTTACTCATTTGCTTTATATATTTTTATTATTTATCCTAATAATTTTTTATTATTATTATTATTATTATTATTATTATTATTATTATGTGGTAAATTATTATTATTATTATTAAAAGCTGTTATACTTTTATCTGATTGTATGTTATCACATTTATTTAATAAGTTTGACGTCTTATATAATTATTAATATAACCAAATTCTTTAAATAATATGTCAACATAACATTATATTACCGTGTAAAAAATTTATATACTTAGGGTGTATTAAAATTAAACTCATAATTTTAGTCTAATATGTTCTTTTTTTATAAAATTAAAAAAATTAATTTTTCTATGTAAAATTGTTGTGTCTTTCCAGTTTTTCATAATAAATTATCTAGAAACTGGTCTCATTAAAGATATCTTAATATATTTTTAATAATAATTGCACAAAAGTTTAACTGGACACCTTTGAGATTTTTCTTTGTAACTTCGTATGTAACCAATATTATTAAAACCGGTCTGGTCATTGACTCAGTCGAGGTACTGGGTCACTGATTCAACCGCATGACCCGGTAATTATATGCAATTTTATAATTTATATTAAAAAATTATAAACATACTCAAATATCTAAAAAAAATATAAAAATTTCAAATATTTTAATATAAAAAATAATAAATCTCATATTATTATCTAATAAAGGATCAAACAAAAATATAATGATCGTGATATGAGGCTTTAGGTTCAGAAAACGACATCTCTAACTATAAATCAAATCAAAATTTTCTAGATAGTGCATAATTGAGATAATATTAGTGTTGTAGGTACATAACTTATATAAGTCAATAAGTAAAAAAATATTCAAATATATCCATTATGATTTTTTGAAAAAATAAATAATTTAATTTTTTTTTGGGACCGGGCCGGGTCACCGGTTTTCATGGAAACTGGTCGAGTCGGACCGGGTCACACCAGTTCTGATACATGACCGGTCCGTTACTTCAACCGAACTGGTTATATGACCGGTTTACCAATTTCCGAGTCGACCCGACCGGGTCGGTCCGATTTTAATAACACTGTATGTAACTCGTGGTATAATTGTTAGAAGTAAAATTTAATGTCTATACTTTTTATTTTTTTTAAGTCTTATTATGTTACATAATTCTGCTTCAAATTTTTAGTTTTCAAATTTACCATAATATTATAAAATAACTCTTATATTTATCACAAGAATTCTCTTGGTTACAAAATCAACAATTTTAGGCTAAAGAACTCCTATGTTTATCTATCTGGATATAATTATATCTCCTAGTTGCGTCCATAAACACTCAAAACAAATAAGTAGCATTAATTATTTAAAGACTTTGTTCTGAATCTACTGTTCGGCTTATAGAGCTTATGCACTATTGGATAAATCTTATATTCTTTAGCAACTTTTTGGCAACCACCCTCTTATAGGCTTTTTGAATTTTACTTTTCATTAATTAATTAATAATTATTTTGTCCCTTATTTAAAATTATCTATCAATCTGTCCCTCTTTAATCGATTAACTTGAATATTTAATCGATTAAATGGTCAAAACAGGCAAAAATGGTCGACTCTAGATTTAATCAATTAAACATCTCTCTTTAATCGATTAACTTGAATATTTAATCGATTAAAACTTATATTTAATCAATTAAATATCCCAAATGAGCGTGAAAGCATTGACTGAATGAGACAAACAAGGAAAACTCGTTGGTTCACTGCGTAGCGAGAACGAATCTTGATTCTTTAACGCATTTGAGTTGTTCCTGAATCCAAATTTTCACATAATGCTCGCCAAATGACCTTTGGCTCCTAACTCAGACATGTCCCTAGTTTAAGAACATTCCGAACTATGATTGGGGTTCACCTTTAATCCAGTGCTGTTAGAAGAGAAATATCCCTTCTTCTGATAAGTCACTTGTCACTGGACAATATATGTTATTATTATTTGTATCATCTCTAAAAGCAGCTCTTATCATAGATTTGTTGCTTAATATTACTTCTTTCTGAAGAGTTTTGTGCTCAATTTTGCAAAAATTCTTCAGCATGTCACGAGTTTTGGCTTCCAACTTAGAAATCCATCCATTTGGAAGTATAGACTTCAGCTCCAATACATAGTCACCACAACCCCTCATTTCTTTAGGAGCACATCTAATATTTCCATCATTGTTAGCATTCCAATCAGTATATATCTCAATAGTACCCTCTGAAGTCCCTAAATCACAATATACTGGTTGAGGATGACCACCATGCATGTACTCACTGCCCTTATTAACATATCCAAACTTCAGTTCAGGCCGGGGTGAAATACTTCCATTTCATATTTCTT